ACTAAAAATTCTTTTAATTTGGTTCGGAGTCCTCTGACATTCTGGTAGTAAACCAGTATATCTTTTTTACCCTTTGTGTGTGTCTTTGAGGTTTCGAAACGCAGACACTTTGACAATTCTTGGCATTCCATTTATATACTTGATCGTTTTGTTGAGTTCGCCACTTCTTTTAAGCTCTTCTAGCATTTAGATTTTTGAGGTGGTTTTGTTGTATCCGAGTCAGGTCCGGCTTGAAGTGAATTTTCATATTATTACAATCGACAGTTTTTATTTTTATTAGACGACGCGCAAGTGCTTCCGATGGTGTGGAGATCAGGAGCGGGCGAGTTTTGCCAGTTTGTGGGCGACCGATTCTGCATAATTTGAGTTGGGGAAGACTTTCAGCTAATTCAAGTGGCCAAGCTTTGGCTATTTGTTCGCTCGATTCCTCCCACTTTTTTGGACTCGGGCATGTTAAAAACGACCACATTTTTTTCGCGTTTTTTTCTTTCGGCAGTTTCCGCATAGATGTCCTCTATATTATTGTTGCTTGGGGCACCATGATCCGAGCCCATTAATTTGGCATCCACCGCACTAACCCTCTTTTCCAGTTGAGCACATTGCTGTGACGTGTTCGCGCTCTGATAGGCAATAGCCTCAAGCTCAGATCTGATACCTTCTAAACTTTTTTTAATATTAGTTTTGAAGGCGTTGACACGTTTCCAGTATCAAGTACATCGTCTGCTACAATCACGCTAACCTCACATTTACAGCCATTGCAGGACCATTTAAAATTGTCTTTTCTCATCTTCGCAGCGATTTTTTTTAATTCTTTGGTTTCAAGTCCCGAAAAATTTAACTGAATCCATCTATCACACATGGAACATAAAATACTAGACACATTTTCTTTTATTAGTTCAGCACAAACACCACATGTGAAACTATCGGCCGTCATCTTTTTATAATTACTTCTAGTGCAATTTAATTAACCTTAATTGATTGATAAGACTCTTGAAGAGTAATTGCGGTTTGTTAGCAATTATTTTCTTTGACAAAAATCAGTTCAATAAGTATTTAATTCATATTTTACAGCAGAGCAAAAAATTGCACTATTTACACGTCCGTCTGCCAATGTAATAATCAATAACCATCTTACTTACTAATTTATAACAAAATCCTACCCTTCGACGGAGTAAAACGGGTTGCAGCGAGTTGCAGGGTGGCAATATCTATCTTCTATATTATCTATATTATGTATACAAAATAATAGCCGTTTTCGTTGTTCGGAGTTAATTTTCAGACCTTGCATATACGGACCTATTATAGGCTACCAGAAAACTCGCTAGGTGGTGCTGGAGTCGAGTTATTTATAAAAATCGTATTTATGATGCGATTTCGTTCAAATTCAAAACGTGTGCTACCTCAATGATGGGAAATACGTACGCGAAAAATAGGCCCGCTAGGTGGCGCTAGAGTCGAGTTATTTATAAAAATCGTATTTATGAACCGATTTCTTTTAAATTCAAAATTGAGCTACAGCATGATGGAAAATACGTTTACCAAAAATAGACCTGCTAGGTGGCTTTATAAACCGATTTCGTTCAAATTCAAATTATAAGCTACCTGCATGATGAAAAAAGCATTTGTGAAAAATGGACCCGATAAAAGCCCTATTTATGAACCGATTTTGTTAATGCAAATTCGAAAGGTTTATTACTATCATGATGCTTTTTTCATTCCAAGCATATATATATACATACATACATAAAATGATAGCCGTTTTCGTTGTTCGGACTAAACTCAAAAACCAGTCAAATTGTCGGAGGTTATACCTTGCATATATGGTCATATTATAGCCTACTAGACAACACGCTGGTGGCGCTGGAGTAGAGTTACTTATAAAAGTCGTATTTATTACCCGATTTCGTTCAAATTCGCAAAGTGAGCTACCTGTATGATGAAAAATTCGTTTCCCAAAAATGAACCCGATATGTTTTATAGAATCTGATTGAAATTCATAATGCGTATTCATTTCGTGACAAGCAGTGGTTTTGCAGAAAAGGGATCTAATGGGGCGGGGATTCTTGGCCCTGCTAAACCTGAAAACGCTCATCTATGCTCTTTAGTTTCCTTATAAGGACTTTTATTGGCTTACATGGTACATCGGATCAATGTTGAAGTTGCAAGATCATAGAAGAATATTACGCACGCTTGGCAGAGATCTCACAGGTGGAAATAAGACCATCGGTAAAACTCATGACATCGAAACGGACTTGTATTCCATATGGTATCACAGCGCTACAATTCTTGGCCTATGTGTGAGGAGGATTTTGTTGTTGTTGTAGCGGCTACAACAACCCCGCCCAGATCTGTTAATATCTCCAAGAAGCCCTAAGTAGCGTGTAGCCTCAATAGGGTCGGTCCACAGGGGCACCGAAATTGCGCATATGGAAACTGTGCATTTAGACATTTCGGTTTTTGTCATATGCATTATTTCGGTTTTGAGTCGAAACTGTGCATGTATGCATTACTTCGGTTTTTGTCATATGCGTTATATCGGTTTTCAAACGAAAGTATGCACATATGCATTATTTCGATTTTTTCATATGCGTTATTTCGGTTTTCAAACGAAAGAGTGCATATGCATAATTTCCGTTTTTATAATATGCAAGTTGCGGTTTTCAACCGAAACTGTGCATATATGCATTATTTCAGTTTTTTTCATATGCATTATTTCGGGTTTCAGCCGAAACTGTGCATATATGCATTAATTTTGTTCACATAACGGTTGTTTGTAACAGCCAAAACGAATCGAGATAGATATAGACAAATGTATACATAAATGATCAGGATGAAAAAAGAAATCGATTAAGCCATGTCTGTCTGTCCGTCTGTCCGTCTGTTCGTCCGTCCGTGTACACGATAACTCGAGCAAAAATTGAGATATCTCAACGAAATTTGGTAGGTAGGTTTCCCTTAATCCAAGGTAGGTTGGTATTGAAAATGGGCGAAATCGGACTGTAACCACGCCCACTTCCCATATAACGGTAATTTCCAGAAATACGAAAACTGCGATATTTTAGTAACTACTGAAGATAATCACTCAAAATTGATATTTACAATAATTTTTAGACGAAAA